ATTTTATTGGCCTAAAGAGATTAAATACTTATATAGATTAAGCAGGATCCTATGGTCTGGAGAAAGTATTAGGTTGCCAAAAAAGTCCATTTTTTTCTGTAAAATAAAAGACACATTTTTCATTTTCACCAATAACTTTATTGATTTGGGTATTTTGAATATGTTGGCTATCTGCCACTCTAGGCTTCTAGTGGGTAGAGGCCAGGGGTGCTGCTAAATGTCTTCCAATGCATAAGACAGCCCCACAGCAAAGATTTGGCCAAAATGTCAACAGTACCAGTAAACTTCACAGACCACTTTAGATGCATTTGATCAGTCACAGCACCTTCTCCATACACTACACAAATCTTTTTTTGTGTTTCAGTTGCATTTTTATCTTTCTTGAAATAATAAAGCATAATATACTGAAAATATTGCTTATTTTCTTCCATCTTCAATATTAAAATGGCTAGTCATAAATTCACCAATTTTGATACTTTTTTTTTAAATGCACGCTGATATGACAGCTGTCACAATGCAATCTAAGAAAACTGTTTTGAATTAAGTTAAAGACAGAAGTTAAGTGCTACTAGAGCCATCTTACAGAAAAAACCAAATGAACATTTTGGTCAACCCAATATTTAATATTAAAACCGCTTTAGTTTTGATTAATGTCTTTTAGAGTTTATAGCCATAAAATATGTGTTTTACCCAAATTAACAAAACTTTGTTATGATCTTTTGGTTAAGTTTGCTTGGCAGTTTTCCCAAAGTTTAAATGTTAAGAGGCTTTTTTTTTTAACTGAGAAATGACTTTGAACTATTCCAATGGGACCTGGAATAGCTCAAAGTTTCATTCTCTCTCCTTTTAAAAAATGTTTTTAAACTAATCAGACCTATTTGAGGTGTTTGAAATTATATGGGAAGCTTTACCAAAATAACAATAACTGTGTTCTATTTGTATGCCTATTTGCTATTTGTAAAACTTGCTACCTGAGAAGATCACAAGTTTACTTGGACAGCAATGCCCCAGGGATTTATGGAGAGTCCCACCTATTGTTTTAGCTACTAGAAGCTGATTTAAATGTTAAAGTTCTTAGTCCACTCTAACCCAATACGTGGATGAGTTCATTTATGCTCTAGGGTATTACTAGACTCTGAAAAGGACACCATAAAATACCAACAAACAGCTCTGATTCTTTTTACCCCAGGTAAAATACTTTGGTTATCTGATAGGTAAAGATGGGCTACTAATTAACCCTGAAAGGCTCAGAGGAATTTTGTTCTTCTTTCTTTCAAAAACAAGAAAGCAGCTGAGAGGATTCCTGGGTTTGACTAGATTTCGTCATGATTGGATTCCAATTTTTTATTTGTGGCCCAGCCTTTACATGTCTTATGAAAATATAAGTGACACGACCACCTTCTTATTCTAGGAATGGTTTATGGGAAACTCCTTGATAACGCTGACTTAATTTGGTATACAGATGGGTCTATGAAAGATAAACCGGGATGTTACCGAACTGGATATGCATTAACTTCCATGGTGGACATAAATGGAAAGTTCTTATTTACCTGAATGAGATCTGCCCAACAAGCCTAATTAATTTTTCTAGCTTGCACTTGTCAGCCGGCTAAGGATCAAAGAGACAGACCTTATACTGATAACAGCGATGCCTTTGGTGTAGCTCACAAGTTTAGAATATTGTTGAAGCAGCGAGGCTTCTTAATTTTCTCAGGACAGCCCATAAAGAATTCAGAGGAGACTGCAAACTTATTAGAAGTCATACAGAAATTGAAACAAGAGGCAATTATCAAAATTCCAGGGCTTTCTAAAGCTGCCACCATGGAAACAAATGGAAATTATTGGCTGATGCTGCAGCTAGACAGGCAGCATGAAGCAGCCAAATTATCCAGACCTGAGAATGCTCCTTGCCTCCTATTAAATCAATTTAAAAAAACCTCTCATTTATGGTCCCAATGGACAAATGCAGAGGAAAGGTGAATATGGCAACAAAGTGCGGAGACTTCGTTTCAGGCAAACACATATGGTTTGGATGCAATCAGAAACCTATTTTACCTATAGGAGTTAATTACCTATACTGTACTTTAACATGTACATGAGCTCAAATTAGCGTCCTAAAAGATGATTTCACGGAGTAAACCTCCTACTGTAACTCATGAAGTGTATAGGAAGTGTTCTGTCTGTCCAATATATAACCCAGGAAAATCATCCCATGGATCCGAAGGACATTTCTTACTTCTTTTAGATACATTTGAGGTATGATCATTGGATTTTATCCAAATGCCACCATCTCAAGAATACAAAAAATGTGTTAGTTATGATTTCGTGTGGGTTGAGGTATTCCTTTGCAGGAGAACAACAGCTTTAATGGTGGGTAAATTGTTTTAAAAATTAATTCCCAATTGGGGAATTCCCTCTGAGTTAGTGACTGAGGGACTCATTTTACTAGACAAACAATGTAACATTTGTACCATTTGGCCTATTCTGTAGTATTTCCATTGTGTTTATCACCCCCAGTTTTCTGCATTGGTAGAACACAGGAATGTTACAATTTAAACTCAACTAGGTACATTTTCAGAAGCTTTTAATCTCCTCGAGTATGTACATTTTCAGAGCTTTAATCTCCCTTGGTACATTTTTAGAGGCTTTTAATCTTCCTTATAGTACTCCTCAACCTCAAATCTATGGTAAACATAGCCTTTCTCCTTATGAAATAGTCACCAGCCACCCTATAAATCTAGATGAAGGGACCTATGAATCAACTTTACTAAAAGGAGACATTCTACGTTATTATCAAGGGTTCATTAACCAGCTTATAGGGACTAATAAATTAGTAACATTTCACTGTGTGCTCCCAGGAGACAAAGACTTCAAAGACCATGACTTACAACCAGGAAATTTTTGCCCATTGGAAAAATACATTAATTAAAGACTTTCCCTCCAACATTTCTGGAAGGAACCTTATCAGGGGCCTAATCACAAATGCACATTGGCCCCTGTCTCTGACACTTGGCCTACAGTGGAGATTAAAGACTTCGCTAGGATGAGAAGCCATAACCCCAGAGATACACAGCTATCCCAAAATATCAGCAAGGCCTGTATACCTACAAACTAATGTTCAACTTTATTTGTTTGATTGTCTTTACCTTTCTCCTAATATTAACAATAATAATTATTATACTTGTTCTTTTCTCAAATCTTGCATATACAGCCCAACTGTTAATTGCTGAAGGTGTAGAAAATAACTTCTGTATTATCAATAATACTCTTCTTAGGGCTTATGTTTTTTCAATTTATAAGAAATGCTATTGCAAAAGGAAGGAAAGAGCTGTGTATACGTTTAGAAGAAATTAAAAGGAGATAGTTTGTCCTGAATGTGCTCACCTCCTAGCCCAACAATGACTAATAACGGGCTTAATTCCGATAGAAGCTGAAGTGGCTATAAAGACATGGCCCTCTATAACTGCTGCTGAGGCACAGGAAATTTACTTATGAAACTCTTACTGTCCTCCAGGCCTGTGGAATCTTTAGATGTTAATTGTAATTTGCAGCATTGTGTTCTTACAGCCTTGGCCCTGATTACAGCTTCCAATTGCACAAGTAAAAGGAATCAGATTAATAACAGCACTTGAGTGCTTCCAATGGGAGGTAAATGGGCCATAGTAGATGGAAACCCATGTCATAGTCAGATTATGAAAACTGAAAAGGTTTATGGTGTGCCCTCAACTATGAGTGAATGTTATACAAGATGCAGGATATAGAAAAGTAAGATAGGCAACAACAGATGGATCATGATAGCTCATAGGTTAGAAATGATCCAGAGTCCCCATGAGACCTGACTGCCTCCCGTTTGCCTGCCTTTCACTTTTTTTGTGTGTTGTGTTGTTTTGTTTTGTTTTTTGATAATTTGAGTTAATACAATTTTTAGAAATTTAATTCATTTCACTTTATTCTCTGTTACCTTTCACTTTGGAGAAAAAATTTGGCTTAGATTTCCATCCAAGGTTGTGGTAAAAAAATTGTGTTCTCATTCTGGCTCTTTCATTAACTGTGTGGTCTTAGGCAAATCATATATCTTATTCAGGCCTTAAAAATAAACATATACAGCCCTGGCTGGTGTGGCTCAGTGGATGGAGCACCAGCCTGACAACCAAAGGGTCAATTGTTCGATTCCCAGGCAGGGCACGTGCCTGGGTTGTGGGCCACATTCCCAGTAGGGGGCGCTTGAGAGGCAACCACACATTGATGGTTCTCTTTCTCTCTCCCTCTCTCTCTGAAAATAAATAAAATCTTTTTAAAAAAATGAAAGAAAAATAAATGTATATAACAAATATACTTCTAGCTCTAAATATACTTCTAGCTGTATGACCGTAATCTACTTTAATCCCATTACTTTCTGTTCTGGTTTTTTTAAAAATATTTTTTATTTTACTTATTCACTTTAGAGAGAGGGGAAGGGAGGGAGAAAGAGAGGGAGAGAAACATCCATGTGTGGTTGCCTCTCATGCACTCCCTACTGAGGACCTGGTCCACAGTCCAGGCATGTGCCCTGATTGGGAATTGAACTGGCAACCTATCAGTTCACAGGCCAGCATTCAATCCACTGAGCCACACCAGCAAGGGCTATTTCAGTTTTTAATATCCATGTAGTTGAAGATGCAAGTGTCTCGTTTCTGTTACTTCCTTTAAAATACAAATATTTATCCAACACATTCCAACCCTACCCCATTTTCCTCTCAATTCTCCTACATTCTCTCTTTTTCTCTCTTCTAGGGTGCTTTGTGGAGCCTCTGGTCCTTGTAGGCAAATTCCACTTTATTTTAAAACCTGTTTATTGGGTCCCAAAATTCTGGTTCTTGCACGACTGGAGATTTTACCTATAGAACCATGCAGTGCACGTGGCTTCCCAAGTGCCCAGCTTCTGTACCAGGGAGAGCTTCTTCAGAGCTGGGCTCCTGTATCACAGGCAGCCTCCCAAGCACCTAGTTCCTACAGCGCAGATGGCTTCTCCATTGTTCGGCTCCACCAGCAGACGCCACGGTGACTTCTCTTTCTTGACACTGTCCACTCAAGTAAGGTCTGGATCTCTGCTCTGGGCAGAGTGTGGGGCAGCAATGCTCTTCCTTGGGTGCTCTATCTCAGCCCTAGGAGTAGTTGCTATTCCTTATTTATGCTATTCTTAATATTATTTAAAAGTCTTCTGATTTCTTACGAGCTGATCCTTTATTATTCGTATTCGCTGTTATAGTTAATAACCCTTTATCTCAAACTTTCCTATTCAAATTACTGGGTGGTTTCTCTCTCCTAATCGGGCCCAGAATGATACAGATGATTCTACTTCTTTATAGCTTAATTCACTCCTTAATTCTTTGTCATCAGCCTTCTATTACTATTGATACTGAAAAATTGTAAAATCCAGCCACCTTTTTCCATCCTGCCATTTTGGTGCTTGAGGTGAAAACTTTTTGAAACTCCCACCTAGGCTTCCATTATGTTATACTATTCCAGTTGTCTTCACCAACTGCCAATTGTTCCTCATGCATGTCTTTTATTAAGTCTAATTTTTCTTCACACTTCTTAACTGTCACACCAAATTCTGAGTATTTAGTTTTCAGCTACTCTCTGAATTTATCTTCTTGATTGGTTGCTTCTCCTATGCACCCTGACTGAGGACTGAATCCACAATTAGGCATGAGTCCTGCCCAGGAATTGAACCCATGACCTTTCGGTTTGTGGGACAATGCCCGATCAACTGAGTCACACCAGCCAGGCCTATATTTCTGCCCTTTAGATAACTCATATTTGCATGGCTTCAGCTACCACCTTTGATCTAATTACTTCCAATCTATGTCTGTGGTCCTCTAATTTCTACTTACTTTAATTCTATATTATTTGTTCTTTTAGTCAACACCTATTTACTGAGTTCTTCCTAAGTGCCAGGTGGCAGTAGATACTGAAAATGCAAAACTGAACAAGGCGCTTTTCCTGCACGCAAAAGGTTTATTGACTGGTTGTGACCACTACCAAGTAAGCAGAATATTACTATACAGTGTGAGAAGTGCTGCAGTTGAGGTAAAGAGTAAATGGGAGCATAAAAGGACATGTAACCAAATCTTGGAGGAGGTCAGGGAGGATTTCCAGGGTGTGATATGCAGTCAGAGACCTGAAGGATGAGTAGGTGTTAAGCAAGGGGGTTGAAGGAAAGAAAGGTTGGAAAGACAGTTTTGGGCAAAGGAAACAATCAGAAATATTGAAAGTTCAGTTCCAGGCCATTGCTATGAAGCAAATATTGCAATAAATCAAGTCACACAAATTTGTTTGGTTTCTGATTGCACACAAAAGTTTTGTTTATATTATACTGTAGTCATTTAAGTGTGCAATAGCATTATGTCTAAAAACAAAGTCATACCTTAATTTAAAAATATTTATGGCTACAAATGCTAACCATCATCTGAGCCTTCAGCAATTGGTGATCTTTTTGCTAACCATCATCTGAGCCTTCAGCAATTGGTGATCTTTTTGCTGGTGGAGGGTCTTGCCTAGATGTTGATGGCCGCTGACTGATCAGGATTATGTTTCCTGAAGGCTGAGGTGGCTATGGCAAGTTCTTAAAATAACACAATAAAGTTTGCCACATTGATGGACTCTTCCTTTAACAAGTGATTTCTCTGTAGAATGCGATTCTATTCGACAGCATTTTACCCACAGTAGAACTGTTTTCAAAATTGGAGTCAACTGCCTTATCAACTAAGTTTACATACTGTTTTAAATCCTTTGTTGTCATTTCAACAGTCTTCACAGCATCTTTACTAGGAGCACATTCCTTTTTAAGAAACCAATTTCTTTGTTCATCCATAAAAAGCAGCTCCTCATTTGTTACAGTTTTATCATGAGATTGCAGCAATTCATTCACATCTTCAGGCTCTACTTCTAATTAATTATCTTGCTATTCCCAGCACAGTTTCCATCTATAGTTACTTCCTCCACTTAAGGGTTGGACTCCGCAGAGTCATCCATGAGGGTTGGAATCAACGTCTTTTAAACTCCTGTTAATGTTGATGTTTTGACCTCTTACCATGAATCACGTATGTTCTCAGTGTAGCCATGTAGAATGGTGAATCTTTTCCAGATCATCAGAGGAATCATTATCTATGGCAGCTATAGCCTTACAAAATGTATTTCTTAAATAATGAGACTTCAAAGTCAAAATCATTCCTTGATCCATGAGATACAGAATGGATGTTATGTTAGGAGGCACAGAACAACATTAACCTCATTGTCCGTCTCCATCAAAGCTCTTGAATGACCAGATGCATTGTCAATGAGCAGTGATATTTTGAAAAGAGCCTTTTTTTGAGTAGTTCTCAACAGTGGCCTTAAAATATTCAGTACACTATGTTATCAACAGGTGCCCTGTCATTCAGGCTTTGTTTTTTATTTATTTTTTATTTATAGAGCACAGACAGAGGAGATTTAACATAATTCTGAAGGGCCCTAGGACTTTCATGATGGTAAATGAGCACTGGCCTCAACTTAAATTCACTAGCTACAGTAGCCCCTCATAAGAGAGTCAGCCTGTCCTTTGAAGCTTTGAAACTAGGCATTGAGTTCTCCTCTCTAGGTATACATTTTTTGGGTGACATTTTCTTCCAAGGTTGTTTTATCTACATTGTAATTACATTGTTTAATAAAGCCACCTTCATTAATTATCTTAGCTTGGTCTTTCTGGATCATTTGCTGCAGCTTCTATATCCGTACTTGGAGCTATGTTATGGAGACGGCTTCTTTTCTTAAACCTTATGAACCAAAGTGCTAGCTTCAAACTTTTCTTCTGCATCTTCTTCACTTCCCTCAGCCTTTGTAGATTTGAAGAGAGTTACGGGTTTGTTCTGGATTAGGCTTTAAAGGGAACATTCTGGCTAGTTTGGTCTTCCTATGCAGACCACTAAAACTTTCTCCATATCTGCAAAAAGGCTACTTCACTTTCTTAGTATTCTTTTCTTATTATTTGGAATAGTACTTTTAATTCCCTTAAGAACTTTTCATTTGCATTCACAACTTCCCTAACTGTTCAAGAGGCCTAGCTTTCTGGCTATCTCAGTTTGCACTATGCTTTTGCCTTTCTCACTAATTTAAAAATTTCTAGCTTTTGACTTAAAGTGAAAGGCATGAGACCCTCCCTTTCACTTAAACATTTGGAGGCTGTTGCAGGGCTGTTGACTGGCCTGATTTCAATACTGTTGTGTCTCAGCAGATAAGTAGGCTCATGGAGATGGAAAGAGATGGGAAAACAGCTGGTCGGCGGAGCAGTCAGAACACACACAAAATTTACCGATTAAATTCACCATCTTATATGGGTGTGGTTCGTGGTGCCTCAAAACAATTATAATAGTAACATCAAAGATCACCAATCACAGATCATTGTACCAAATACGACAATAATGAAAACAATTTAAATATTGCAATATTTACCAGAATGAGACACAGAGACACGAAGTAAGCAAATACTGTTGGAAAAACAGCACAGGATTGCCACGAACTTTTAATTTGTAAAACTATGATATCTGTGAAGCACAATGAGGTGAAACACAATGAAAAAAGGCAAGTCTGGTTTTGCTAAAGCCTAGGTATGATAGAGAGCATAGTGTTTTGGGAGAATTTAAATTATTTCAGACCACAAAATTGCAGATCCATTATCCAGATCATACAGCTTAAGGGGAGAGTGACTCAAGTTGAGAAGCATCCAGATATTCAGCTTATCTCCTTCTTAGATGTTTCTCCTGTGATATCCTGCCAGCCTCAAAGTCATTGTATACAAGTGAGGGAAAAAACCCACATTTTAACATTTTTCTCTTCCTTAAATGTTCGTCTTCTCAACTTCTAACCTTTTATTTTTCTGTTCCTGTACAGAATCCGTATCTTTTTATGCCAATTTGTCCACTTCGTGATCATTATTATTCCTTTGCCTTTGACCGTATTGCCTCCACTATGAAATATCTACTCTCATTTTCTCTAGCAAATAAATATTATATTTTATTTAATGCCTACCTCTTTAAAGGAAACTTTGCTGACCTATTTTCAGGACTATATTTATACTGATTTTTCCATTTTCTCAAACTGATATCATTAGTCTTTTATTTTACTTGACTGCATACTGTTGTACCTTGTTCACTGATTGTTTTATTTACATATTAAAAAATGCTTATTAAGAACTCTTGCTGCGTGCTGTGCTGAGCACAAGAGACCCAAAGATGAACAAGATAGACAAGACTCTTGCACTATCAGTAGAATTTTTGGAATGCGTCTTACCTTTTTAGCTATGCTGTAAGCTTCTTGAAGTAAAGGGCTGTGATCTAAAGTTCTCTGATATACCTTTTTCAGTGCACAATAACAAAAATGAAAAAAATTCAAGATGATCATCAGGAGAAAAGCTTAAGCCAAATAACATTGTAAGAAAGATCTCTATGTGGCATGGACACATTTTCTAGAAAATGGAACATTTATCTATCTACTACATAATATATTCTGATTTTTAATACTTCACAGATGAACACTTTTATTTTTAAGTACTTATTACAACAAATGTTTTAAACATTTATCAATTAAACATACATTCATTTAGCCCTGGCTGCTGTGGCTCAGTGGATTAAGCGCTAGCTTGAGAATGGAAAGGTTGCAGGTTCGATTCCCAGTCAAGGCAGATGCCTGGGTTACGGGCCAGGTTCCCAGTAGGGGGCACAAGAGAGGCAGCTGCACATTCATGTTTCTCTCCCTCTCTTTCTGCCTCCCTTCCCTTCTCTGCAAAAATAAATAAATAACATCTTTTAAAAAAATAAACATATTCATTTATTAATTTCTAATAAACTGTAACTTAATTACATTAATCCAAGGTTTCTCAGCCTCATCACTGTTGACACTTTGGGCCAGATAATTCTTTATTGTGTTTGTGTTTGCTGAGTCAGGGCTGTCCTCTGCATTGTCGAATGTTTAATAGCATCTCTAGCCTCTTCCCTCCTACTGCAGTTTTGACAATCAAAAATTTTTCCAGATATTATGTACCCCAGAGAGCAAAATCTTACTGGTTGAGAGAGACTGCAACCAAATCTGACATTCATGGTACACAGTTGTATGTTAAAGATAACCTCTGATGGCCTCTACACCAATATTGAAAATATTACCCCTACATTTGCATTTTACTAGAGATCTGAGGATTTCCCCCATCCAAGTCACAGTACCTTTTTTTACAGGGTATGTTATACCTAACAAATCTTTATAGTTTTAGGAATAAATGTGAAATTTACTCATTCTTTGGCTTTACTTAGCTTTCAATTAAAAACTGGTATTTATTAGGCATGCATTCTGATAAGTGTATTATCTCACTTTAATGCCTATAACAAGTTGTTATTATGTCTACTGATCAGGAATCTGAGGTTCAGGACACTAAATAATTTGTTTAAATTTATTCAGTTTGTGGTATAAATGGGTTTAAAATCTAGAACTCTGGATAAAAAAAAACAGTGTACTTTCTACTAATTACACTGACTGACTTGTCTTTCTTCTGAGTAATTCACCAGTAGAAATGAGTTCTAGAGTAAATTTTATTACTATCAGAGGGCTGTGGGTTCAAAAGTTCTCATTCTTATTTTGGGAGAGCAGTTATAAACTTCCTCCATTTTATGCCCCACCATCTCAGTTTCACATTGTTTGATGATGTAAGCTACTAAAAATTGATCAATTGCTGATAACAAATAGGTTTCTGAGCTAGAAAGTAAAAGAGATAGATCTCCATTTCATGCAAATAAATCAATTGTGTTAGGAGAATAAAGATATACTCAATCTGCGGTAAATGTTTCAGTTGTATTACAGAGGTTTCAGTGGTCTTGATCTTTTGTCCAGTCAAAAGTGATGTATATTTACTTATAATATGGTTAAAAGAATAGTGTGCTGGAACAAAAAGATATTATTCTGGGAGTCAGGACATTTCAAAGATTTTAATTCTGGTTTCATCACTAGTGTAATTAAGACCTCAAGCAAACTATTTATTTATTTTGGGCGTCAGGTTACTCACTTGTAAAAAAAAAAAAAGGAGTAGTCATCATGATTTCTAAGGTCCTTTTTCAACTCTAACATCTTTTTTGTTTTTTAAGATTTGATTTATTTATTTTTAGGGAGGGGCAGAGAGGTAGAAAAATACGGAAACGTCAATGTATGTTTGCATCTCGCGCGCCCCCTGCTGGGGACCTGGCCCACATTCCAGGCACGTGCCCTGCACTGGAAATCCGACCTGCGACCCTTTGGTTCACGGGCTGGCATTCAGTCCAGTGAGCCACACCAGCCAGGGCTCAGCTCTAACATTCTAATAAGTTGTGTTGTAGCAAATTTCTCTGAAAGAGAAATCATAAATGACACTATTAAAAAGTTATTGTTTAATAAAAATAACTGGCGTAAGGATGATAGTAGAACTTTATATTTATATATAATCCTAAAGGTTTTTTAAATTTGATTGTTTTAAATTTGATTTTTTTTTTTATTTTCCTCAATACTTGCTTAAGAACTTTTTTTATGTGAGGACATGTTTATTGATTTTAGAGAGAGAGAAAGAGAGAGAGAAACAGCAATGCGAGAGAGGGAGAGGAACATTGATCGGTTGCCTCTGGTATGAGCTCCAACTGGGGATCAAACTTGAAACTCTTTCGTACGGCATGAGGCTCCCATCATTTGAGACACCCGGCCAGCACAAAGCCCACTTCGTTCATTCTTCACCCGAGGACACTTCTTTTCACTGCTTGTATGGGAACGATCTTGTCTGTCTTTGGTTTGTCTTTCTCTGAAGTCTCCTGCTTTGGATTAAGGTGGTTTACACCAAAGAGTGAGGTTCCTCCCTGTGGCCGTGCTACCCTGGCTTCCGCAGCTATGCCTGGGCTTCGGCGGAGGCTGGGGCAGAGTGGGCCGGAGGCTCCGGAGGGGAGACTGGGGAGGGAGGCCCCGCGGGGAGAACTGAGAGGGCGGCCGGCGGGATCCCGGCGCCGACCCATCCCCCATGCTCCCGCGGCCATCCTGCTCAGTTGCTGAAGAATTTTTTAAAATTAAATGTATTGTGGTGACATTGGTTAATAAGATTATAGAAGTTTTAAGTGTACACTCTATAATACATGATCTGGATATTGCATTGTGTGCCCACCACCCAAATTCAGATCTTCCATTACAATATATTTGGCCTCCTTTACCCTTTACTACCCTACCTACCCCCCCTCTAGTAACCACCAGACTGCTGCCTGTGTCTGTGAGTTTCAGTTTTATATAACATATATGAATAAAACCATACGATTCTTGACTTTTTTTTATCTGACTTATATTGCTTAATATAATTATTTTCAAGGTCTATCCCTGTTGTCGCAGAAGGCAGTATTGCATCTTTTCTTATGGCTGGGCAGTATTCCATAGTACATATGGACCACACCTTCTTTATCCAATCCTCTATTGAGGGACACTTTGGTTGTTTTGATGTGTTATTCACCATGAATAGTTCTTCAATGAACACAGGGGTGCATATATCTTTGTAAATAAATGTTTTCAAGTTTTTGGGGTAGATACCCAAAAGAGAGTTTGCTGAGTCATTTGATAATAGTATTCTTCATTTTTTGAGGGATAGCTATATTGGTTTCCATAGTGGCTGTCCCAGTTTACATTCACACCATTTGGATACTAACCCCTTTTCAGAGCTGTTGTTTGCAAATATTACCTCCCATGTGGTTGGTTGCCTTTTGTTTTGTTGTTGCTTTCTTTTGCTGTGCAGAAGCTTTTTAGCTTGATATAGTCCCGTTCATTTATTTTTGCCTCCACTTGTCTTTGGAGTCAAGTGCATAAAATGTTTTTAAGACCAAGGTCTGTAAGTCTAGTACCTATGTTTTCTTCTATGTAATTTATTGTTTCAGATCTTATATTTACATTTTTGAGTCATTTTGAATTAATTTTTATATATGGGGACAAACTGTAGTCTAGTTTCATTCTTTGGCTTGTGGCTTTCCAGTTTTTCCAGCACCATTTACTGGAGAGGCTTTCTTCATTGTGTGTTTTGGCTTCTTTGTCAAAAGGTTTTGCCCATATACATGTGGATTTATTTCTGGGCTCTCACTTCTGTTCCATTGGTCTGTGTTTCAGTTTTTCTACCAATACTATGCTGTTATGATTATTGTTGCTCTGTAGTATACTTTGAAGTCAGGTAGTGTGATACTTCTGGCTTTGCCCCCACCCCACTCAGGATTGCTTTGACTGTTCTGGGTCTTTTGTAGTTCCATACAAACTGATGATTTTTTGATCTATTTCTTTTTTTTAATTTAATTTAAATTTATTTTTTCAAATACATTTGTCTCTGCCTACCCCCCACCACTTTCCCTTGCCCCCTCTTGATCTATTTCTTTAAAAAATAACATTGAGATTTTGATGGCGATAGCATTAAATTTGTATATTTTGAGGGTGACGTGGACGTTTAAACTATGTTGATTCTTCTAATCCATGAACACAGAATAGCTTTCCATTTCATTGTCTTTTTCGATCTTTTAAAAATCACTGCTTTGTAGTTTAAGTATATAGGTCCTTCACATCCTTTGTTCAGTTTATTCCTAGGTATTTTTTTTTTTGTTTCCTTTACAAAAGAAATCAGTTTTTTCATTTCTTTTTCCTGAAGTTTCATTGATAGTATTTAGGAATCCAATAGATTTTTTTTTCATTGATTTTCTACCCTGCAATTTGGCTCTATTTGTTTATTATTGCTAATAGATTTGTGTGTGTGTGTGTGTGGAGTCTTTAGGGGTTTTTTTAATATAAATAATCATGGCATCTGCAAAAGGGACACTTTTAATTCTTCACTCCCAATATTGGTGTTTGTTTTTTTTTCTTTCCCTCGCCTGGTCGCTCTGGCGAGGACTCCCAGCACTATGCTGAACAGTGGTGAGAGTGTGCGTCCTTGTCTTGTTCCTGATCTTAGAGGAAGAGCATTCAGTTTTTCACCATTGAGTATGATATTAGCTGAGTGTTTGTCATACGTGGCCTTTACTATGTTGAGGTACTTCCCTTCTGCACCCATTTTATTGAGTGTTCTAGTCATAAATGGATGTTCTGTCTTATCAAATGCTTTTTCTACATCTATTGATAAGACTTTTCCTCACATTTCCGCTAGATGGAGCTCCATAGCCACAAATCTCTTTTTAGTCGGGAAGCTATTAAAAAGTATTCCTAGTCAAGAAGACACACTCCTTTGACTCCATATTCTTTATTATATTTTATCTATGCCAACATTTACAGTACACTTGCACTATAAAGTATAAATACATTTTACTAAGTTTTAAAAATGTATTTAATATAGCAGAAAACATCTGTATGGTATAATACCATCTGCTACGCTGTATGCCAATCACATTTCTCATACCTGTGTTATGGCAGCCGGCCACTAATTGGTGTTAGATGTTCAGTATCCTGTTGATGTGCTAGACAGTAGGTACATTATTTATAAAATTAAGCTTTTAAAAACATAGGGCATCTCGCCTTTTGTGGGTGGTGGTGAACGCGGAGAGAACGCTGTGAAGGCCTCGGGCCCGCCGCGAGAGTACAAGGTAGTGGGGCGCTGCCTGCGCACCCGCAAGTGCCTCTCATCGCCCCTCTACCGCATGCGCGTCTTTGCACTCAACCACGTCATTGCCAAGTCTCCCTTCTGGTACTTTGTGTCTCAGCTGAAGAAAATGAAGAAATATTCATGGGAAATCGTCTACTGTGCGCAGATGTTCGACAAATTCCCGCTTCGGGTGAAGAACTTTGGTCTCAGCCTGTGCCACGACTCCTGCAGCGGGACCCACAACAGATACGGGGAGCACCGGGGCCGGACCATCGCAGGCACCCTCACCCAGTGCTGCCCAGACATGGGGGCCCGGCACCGTGCCCGCGCCCACTCAGTCCAGATCAAGAAGGTGGAGGAGATCGAGGCCAGCAAGTGCCACCGACCAGCAGTCAAGCTGTTCCATGACTCCAAGATCAGGTTGCTGCCGTCTCACCGGGTCCTTCGTCGCCCGCCCAAGCCACGCTTCACCCCCAAGAGGCCCAACACCTTCTTTTAGTTGCAGGGCTTCCCTGTCCCCTGGTCTATCCAAATAAACTCCTCGAGAAACAGAACACAAACAAAAAGAAAACCACTGGGCATCTCAAGTGGTTAAATTTTCTTCATAGATATCCTGCAGATGTACAATATCATAAATACTATAAAGGCTATATTTTACTTATACATTAAATTTTTTTGGTTACAATATTTATTATTTCACAGAAGTATTAAAACTTCAAATAATATGTAGGAAACATTCTAGACCAAATTTTTTGACTTGTATTTTTAAAAAATCATGTCTTTCAATGTTTAAAAATTGACTTGCATTTAATCTCTTTCTTCTTAAATATTCTACCGTTCTTTAATTTTCTAGTCTCTTTGAGGAACTAATTATCTCTGCAACTCAACCCCTTACTATTTCTCTGCTTCTGACTTTAACCTTGAAGGTCAATAATGCCAATTCCATGATATCTCAATATATTGAGAGTACCAACATGAAAGATAAGTTGAGCTGTTTTTGAAAATTTTGTGAATGGGTTTCATCAGATAAAGTTTGTATTTAGCTGTCATTTTAAAAGGGTTTCTCACTAAACAAATGTATCAATGTAACCAACATTTAATATTTTATTGTTGTGTAGATCAATTGTTATTGCTGAAAATTTATAATGTAATTATTTTCTTCTTTAGGAATTTTATTTTTAAAATTATTTTATTGATTATGCTATTACAGTTGTCCCAATTTTTCTCCCTTTGCACCCTCCACCCAACACCCCGACTCCCTCAGGCAGTCCCCCCATCGTTGTTCATGTCCATGGGTCATGCGTATAAGTTCTTTGGCTGCTCCATTTCCTATACTGTATGTTACATCCCCATGGCTGTTCTGCAACTACCTATTTGTACTTCTTAATTCCCTCACCTTCTTACCCCTTCCCCCACATCCCTCTCCCATCTGCCAATCATCAAAATGCTCTCTGTATCCATGATTCTGTCTCTGTTCATGTTTGCTTGGTTTGTTTTTAGATTCAATTGTTGATATTTGCCATTTTATTGTTCATAGTTTTGATCTTCTTTTTCTTACATAAGTCCCTTTAACATTTCCTATAATAATGTTTGGTGACGATGAACTCCTTTAGTTTTTTCTTGTCTGGGAAGCTCTTTATTTGCCCTTCGATTCTAAATGCTAGCTTTGCTGGGTAGAGCAATCTGGGCTGCAGGTCCCTGCTTTACATGACTTTGAATATTTCTTGCCAATCCCCTATAGCCCAAAAAGTTTTTTTGAGAAATCCCCTGTAGGTAACTAACTTCTCTTCTCTTGCTGGTTATAAGGTTCTCTCTTTATCTTTAACTTTTGGCATTTTAATTATGATGTGTCTTGGGGTAGACCTTTTTGCATCCATCTTGTTTGGGACTATATCTCCTGGACTTGCATGTCTATTTCCTTCACCAGATTAGGAAAGTTTTCTGTCATCAGTTTTTCAAATATATTTCAATATCTTGCTCTTTCTCTTCTTCTTCTGGCACCCCTATGTTGTGAATGTTGGACCTGTTGAAGTCCCAGAGGCTGCTTATACTATCTTTATTTTTTTGGATTCTTTTTTCTTTTTGTTGTTCTGATTGGTCGTTTTTGCTTCCTTATGTTCCAAATCATTGATTTGATTCTTGACTTCATCCACTTTACTGTTGTTTCTTAGTAAATTGTTCTTTATTTCAATTACTGTATCCTGCATTTCTGACTGGATCTTTTTTATGCTGCTGAGGTCCTAAGTTCCTTGAGCATCCTTATAACCAGTGTTTTGAACTCTGTGTCTGATAGATTGCTTATCTCCATTTTGTTTGGTTATTTTTCTGGACTTCTGTTCTGCTTTTTCATTTGGGCCATGTTTCTTTGTCTCCTCATTTTGGCAGCCTCCCTGTGTGTGTTTCTGTGTATTAGGTAGAGCTGCTTTGACTCTCTATGTCTTGGTAGCGTGGCCTAATGTCGTAGGTGTCCTGCGGGCTTCAGTGGCAAAGCTCCCCTATCACCCAACCTGGTGTGCCCTTCATGTGGTCTAAGTACACCTTCCCCTTGTAGTTTAGCCTTGGTTGCTGTTGGTAGATCAATGGGGGCGGATTTAACCAGGCCAGTCAGCTGCAAAGATTGGATGTAACCACTGACCACCAACATCGGTGGATTGAGCACTGGTCTGAGAACCAAAAGGGTGAAGGTTTGATTCCCCAGTCAGGGTACATGCCTGGGTTGTGGGCCAGGTCCCCAGCTGGGGGTGTGCAAGAGGCAGCCAGTGGATGTTTCTCTCTCTCTCTTCCTCCCTTTCTTCCCCTCTGTCTAAAAATAAATAAATAAAATCTTAAAAAAGAAGGGACAATGGCCTCTTCACCATGATGCCAAACACCCCACTTTTCCCCAGTATGTCAGTGGTGCCTTTCAAGATGCTACCCTTGTGCTGGAGCTCAGAGGAAGCGAGTCTGAGTAAGTGAGTCCATGTGTGAGTTCTTTGAAGAGGAACTGCTTGGAGCTCTAGAAGTTTCTTCCACTGACTCAATCCCCACTAGTTTTTGCAGCCAGAACTTGTGGGGACTGATCTTCCTGGCACTGGAACGCTGAGCTGGGGGGCCTGGTGTGGGGCTGGGACTCCTCGCTCCCAGGGTATCCCTACCAAATTTTTATCCACCACACTTGGATGTAGGACCAGCCCATTCTGCGTCTGTGCCCCTCCTACCAGTCTGGATGGCTGTGGTTTCTTTAATTCCATAGTTGTCAGGCTTCCATTCAACTCGATTTCTGATGGTTCTGAGGGATGGTTGTTCTATATTTTAGTTGTAATTTTGATGTGGTTGTGCGAAGAGGCAACCCATGTCTGCCAATGCTGCCAGCTTTATGATTAATTTCTTAACAGCAAAACACATAATATCTATTTTTAAAAACAGATGAACCATCTCACCAACAGGCAAAGATAAGAAATAATTTGACATATAGTTCAGCATTTGATATTTCTGAGATTTTTTTGTCCTGAAATGTTGCTAAATTCATGATAATATTTTAAAAATTTATGCTGTGTTTTTTATTTTTGAGTTAAAAATATGTATTAGAGGGAATGCATTTGTCAATTAAACATAACCAATATACAGATTATATATATATATATATAAAATTTTACACCTGAAACCTATAGATACTTTTATTAACCAATGTTACCCCAATAAACTCAATTAAAAATAGCCAATATGAAAACTGCAGATTTTTCTAAATGTTATCTCACAATGTCCTTAATCAAAGGACAGACTTAAAGTTGTGATGCTGTGATGTCACCTTAGGAGGGCAACCAAGGCATCAGAATTTAAATATGCTCAGAATACAAAAAGCAATTTGGGGTCAATTATAGCACTAATTGATTTTAAAATTAAGCATACTTTTTTTCTCTTTTGACTTTTATATATTATTTTACTAAACTGGGCAAAACCATTGACATTTCATTACTGAGTTATGGCCATTTATATTGACTACCGTCTTGTACATATTGGAACTGGATTTTCTTTTAAATAAAAGTTATAGCATAAAGATTCAAATGTTTAAAAAATATTCGAGTTTTTTTATATTAGCAATTTGTTTGATTGACTACTTATCCCTTCCTGGAAGATAATACTATTTTTAAAACAGAAAGAGCCTCACAATAATTAAAGGTCACTAGACTAGGAATCTGGGTGCAAATTCCTGGCTTGGTTCAAGTCTACATGTTAGGCCACAGCGATGTATCTATGGGCAATCGATCTAATCCCTTTATCTCACTTTTCTTGCTTGAACAACCACAAACCATAAAACATGAAACAAATGCAAGGTATTGTTATTATAGAAAAACATTCACTGTAATTATCCCGTCATAAACACAAAGCATGCTACCATAACCATCACTAGCAGAAAAACTTTTTATGTCTACAAACTCCTGCTTAAACTGTGCTTTTGTCCAATCTGAATAGATAATCTCTCAGCAGGAGCTGGCACCTTTTCAGGTTGCTCTGGCAGTTGCCACATTAAGCACTGAAGGGTGACATACTTAGAAAACTACCTGGACACAGATGCTTCTAGTCTTCCACCTCCAAAAATGAGTAGTTTAGCTCCATTTTCATTTATGTTGTGCATATACATTGTCTTACTTGCACATGAGTGGAGAACAGGAGAAGGAGGAAGAGGAAAACATGACAACTCTATTTTTCATAGACTCATAGAATTTCACCTTGAAAGGAACTTTAAATATCATCTTGTATGATCACTTTCTTTTTCTTCATTTTATTTCAGCATCTGCAGACCTAAGGAGATTTTTGCTACATTTTATAAATTGCATGGAGACCAAAAAGAAAAAGTATGTGTGACTTCACAGTTAGAAGTGAAAAAAAGATACTGTGTATGAACTTTCTGAGTTGTGTAGCTTTAGCCCTAGCTGGTGTGGCTCAGTGCATTGAGCTCCGGCCTGAGAACCAAAGGGTCGCCGGTTTGATTCCTAGTGCAGGGCATAGGCCTGGGTTGCAGGCTGGGTCCCCAGCAAGGGGTGTGTGAGATGCAACCACATATTGATGTTTCTCTCCCTCTCTTTCTCCCTCCTTTCCCCTCCTCAAAAAATAAATAAATAATATCTTGAAAAAAAAGGTTGTGCAGCTTCATCATAAATTAATGCTGGCAGCTTAAAATATAAACAGAATTAAAATGAAATTATAGCTCATTAAAACAAATGAGTAAAATATGGAAATAAATGGGAAAAAAATGTGGACCCAAGAAAATCACCGCAGTTGGTGCATTATTAGGTTTAGTACCTGTTTTAGGTATCTATTGCTTTCTAACAAACCTTAAAACTTGGAGCCTAAGACAAAAATTATTTCTCAGTTTCTGTGTCTATGGATTCTGTGCACAGTTTAGCTGTGTGGCTCTGGATCAGGGATTTTCACAAGACTATAAGACTGCATTCAAGATGTTGGCTGGGGCTGCTGTCATCTCAAGACTCGACTTGGGGAGGATTTACTTTCAGCCTC